CAGCTTGCTCACAACCAAGCACGCAAGAGAAAATACCATTAACTGGAATTTGTCGATTCTGTGGTTGTAACATGTCATTCTCTATTTAGCGAAACTTCTGCTGTTCATGTGAGATTTTCGTTTCGTGAATGATGCTAAGCTTTGCCCACCGTATGGTGTCATCTGTTCAGTATCTTCTCGGTTTTCCACTTAGTATTGCGCTTGAAGTACAGCCTGTTTTCTGGAAATATTCATCGTTCTTCTTTATGGCCAAAATAATGCGTTTTTCGCTTGTTTTTAACGAGCGGGCATTGAGTATTCAGTTGATTTAAGAGTCTTTGGTCTTGAAGTTCTTTAAGAAGATCTTCAATGGTCGTCTGGAATACCACATCTAACTCTGCCCCCTTTGCGATCCAGTCATCAATCCGTAAGTTTCGACGGATTCACCAGACCATAGGTCTGGCAATAAGCCTCCATTTTCTGAAGTTCCGGGCTTTTCGACTTCGCCTTATTTTGTTCATTCTCACAAGATGACAGTGACTTCATGCAGTTCAGCGCCATGCAGTGTAATTCTTGTTCAAATGTGTTTCCTGGCCACTGCCATCATTTTAGTTTTCCTTAGATTTGCTTTTAAAGCAAATACTTGCTCGTGATATTGACTTCTGTACCAATTTCTAATTTTGTTGAATATTTCGCAGCATTTACTGTCTTCTGCATATCGCAAGTTAATGACTGATCTACCTACAGTTTTAAACTTCCTGTGTTCCATTCATTTAAAAGCGATTTTGTGGTTAGAGCTACAAAAATTTTATGTAGAAAGATTTTATTGGAACAGCGATGTTTTCGATGGCACAGATATCGTCCATTATCAGTCATGTATATCATTATTAATTTTGAACCATTTTACAACATGCACCTGTTGCATACCAGAAATTTCATCTCTTCCCTTCATTAGACTGAGGTAGGTACACGACAAAATTATTGCTGTGTTCTAAATCTCGATTATGTTATTAAATAAACCTCCTGAAGTAGAAGAGCGGCCTACCTTTCACATAACTTAGTTATATTGAAGCGCATGTGGATCCAGTTCTCTGGCAGTAGCTGTCAGTAGAAAATCTGATCCAGTGAT